AGCAGACGGAGCTTCCAGTCCATAGGTTGGACCTGATGTGCCGCCTGACCCCCAAAGGGGGACGGCTTCATGTATGGTGATCCATACGGCATGTATGGCTGTTGGGGCACATACGGAACCGGCTGGATGATGTGAGGGCCAGTACGTGCGGACATGCCACGTGACTGACTCCCTTGATGTGTTTCCGAGTGCTTCATTGAAGTATTGCGGAAACTGTCTGGGTAGGTCGACGTTGAAGCTGACCCAGACATTTGCTGACTTCTCTTCTCCTGGATGAACATCCGGGCGTCAGAGAAAGTCTTTTTGGACCCATCCGGCTGAACTTGCCAGATGGCCTTCCTTTGCCCTGATTTAGAGAAATGAAGTTTTGAGAGGTCGATCAGGGGCCCATCCGTCCCCTTGGGTTTGGGGTGAGGAGTAGGCACCCGGTCTTTGATTTGCTTCTTCCCAGAGGGAGAAGGCTTCTTTGCCGACTGACCCTTGTTTGAGCCAGTTGACTTCTTGATTATGTCCTTTCTCCTTTGAAACTCATCATGAATTTCATGAGCTCGTCTCTGGTGACGGGGGCTGTGCCCTCCACCGCCTGGGGTTGCCCAGCATTCTTGCCGCCTGGGTTTCTGGGACCAACTTTGTCTTGGCCTCGTTCCTTCTTTTCTTTGGAAAGGGTGCGCCTTGTTCGAAATGACCCGTCTAGGGCCACATAGGTGTCGACCTCGTAGTCTTCACCATTTTCATGGTCCGTATGGACCTCAGGTTCAGCCGTAGGCCGGCTACCTTCTGCAGGCGGTACGGTATCAGATGCCATCTCAGAAGTACTCTCCCCACAGACGGCGCCAGAGTTACAATTCTGGGAATGCGTGCCTGACGTCCGTACCTGCAAAACCACGAAACTCCGGTTGGGTGGAGTTCCGCCTCCAACGATCAAGTTAGTATGATTCCAGATGGGTAAAAGTGCGGAAGGTAATGGGCTTTTCTCCCTGATTCAAAGAGATTTCGCAATTAATATTGCTCGGTATTTGTGTATGTATTTATGAATGTTTCTGCATCCCCAATAAATGAGGAGTTTCCTCTATTTATAGCAGATGAAGACCTGCTCCCCCATTAGGGTTGCAATGTCACGTGCCAGCATCCGATTGGATCCCAATGGGCCTTTGAAGGGCTGCCACGTGATAGCACGACATTGGGCCACGTGGCATAGGGGTTTTTTACTCCAAACATCAACCATCATGTACTCAGTTTTAAGGCCTTCATGTAAATGATGTCTTAGTAACACTAAGGCTTTTGCCTTTTCTTGTTCAGTAAATGGTTTTTCAACCATCATTGCAGAAGTAAACAAACATGGATTCAGAGAAACAAGACCTGCTTATAAAATAGCAGTTTCTAAACTATCAGCTATAATAATCCACAATGATGTCCAATTGTTCATAGACCATTAACCTTGCTCATGACAAGATCCACATTTATAATTATTGTCGTCGTTTGTCCAAGGCCATGACCTTTGTGCGTGTAGCATGCTATCATCTGCCTAAATAAGCATACGGATCCCAAATTGTAGAGCAATGAATATGTATGGCCTGTGCTAGAAGTTCAAAAGGAGCATTGAGTAGTTGAGATGCTACACAGAGCTAAAACATTGAACCATTCTTTCATACAAGTATATCATTCAGCAATCATGTATTATTTGATACAATAGTGAAAATTATATTTTTGCAAACAATCTGAAAATGATCAAACATCTGGGAAAAAAAAAAAAAAACAACACACGTTTACACTGTTGAATTACATAGTTGTAAATTATATACATGACTATAATGTGAAAGCACAGAGTCTGCACATGATTCTATATTTTCCGTAAGATCATGGGGACGCCGTGTTGAGGTTGAAGGCTGGTAAGAAGGAACGGCGAATGAGAATAAGATGGTGACAGCTCAAACGAGTAATGTTGTAAGATCATTGCAAAAGCCATCTTCACTTCAAGCAGGGCAAAGTTCTGCCCAACACATACCCTTGGACCCCCACTAAAGGGGATGTAAAAAACTTGGCCGTTGGTTACCTTAGCTACACCTTCGGAAAATCTCTCAGGGTTGAATGCAGTGGCATCCTCACCCCATAGCTCAGGATCAGTATGTACAAGCATTGTCGGTACACAGATTTGTACTCCCGGTGGCAGCAAATTGTCCCCGACTTTGGTTGGTTTGTGGATCATACGATACATCAGAATCACAGGCGGGTATAACCTTAGGACCTCATTTATTATCATTGTCATCTGTATCAAAGTAGTCACTCTAAAGTTAGGATGGAATAGAAGCAAATAAGAGTTAGATCAGTATGCTGCTAACAGACTTCTGTACAAATCTAGAAACTAATCAGAAAGCCATCATCTGAATATTAGTACTTACAACTTTCAAGTTGTTCAAGCTGTTGAAATCTGGTTTGTTCTGCCAAAAACGCGTAAAACCTCCTCCCTAGCACGAGCTTGCCAGTCTACATGCTTGCCTAACATAACCATCATCCACACCAGCAAGCAAGAAGTTGTATCCCTCCCTGCTAGGTAAAAATCTTTGCACTCTTCAACTACCTCATCAATTGTTAGCCCGACATTCTTCTTGTTTCCATGTTCTTGAACTGCCTTTGAACTAGAGTCCAACAAAATCCCAAGCAAGTCGTCGTTGCAAGCCTCTCCCATCTCCATTTGATTCTCTCTTTTAGTGATGATATTGTTCATCAAAACTCGCATTTCATTATTGATTTCCTTCATCCTTTTATTCGTCTTAGTTGGCAAAAACCTACAAAGAAGGGCATGAAAATGAACATTTCCATATTCTATGTAGAACTCAGAAAACTGCAGATTAATACCAAGTGGACATACCTCAGTCCAGGAATGTAAACTTGCTGCAGTACTTTCATAGCAATTGCGATCTGCTCTTTTTGTAGAGTGAATATCTTCTTTCCCTCCTTGTAGCTGCTACCAAATGCCGCCCTTGAGATAACATCACCGGACAAGTCATCAAGGTGCGGCCACACATCTAGCTCACACGATCCGGTGGATGACACCATATCTTCCCATTTGTTGACCATTTCATTACAGCTTACATAGAATTCTCCTTGAAGGGCCTTCATCAAATCAAAGAACAAACAGGAAAAAATCAGTATAATTGGAATAGAAGTAAAAAAATAATATACTCCGTATCTTGTTTATTTCAGTTAGTTATAAGAGAAAGATAAGAAAGTAAAATAAACCTTGAGCTTCTCCAAATGAAACGCAGGATTAACGATTTTTCGGTGTTTAGCCCATTTCTGACCCTCTAATGCAACAATCCCCTTGACAATCATTTTGGCAAGAGGGTTTGCATTTGGCTTCTGAAAGTCTTCATATTTCGTCATTACTTCTTTTATCATCTGAAGTTCCATGATATTTATGCATGGTACAGGCCCAAACCATACAAAAGAGTTCTTTCCTGCAAAATTATCAGCATCAGAATCCAACAGTCAGAAATTTTGTGACAGTTAAGCAACAGTAATGGCACCAACTGTTAGTACTTAGAAGCAATACCGAAGTTCTTAACAATCTGATGAGTGAAGGGCTGAACACGAGGCACAATGTCATCAGAGATTCCGATTGGACTTGAAAATGCCTCCTTTGTCATCTTGGAACTCTCCTTCATGTCTCCATACAACAGGCGATAAGGGTTACCGGAAAAGCCTTGCTTCCTTAGTTGCTTTTCCAGCTGCCTTGGCCTTAACCAAAGCCAATTTAGTACCCTCCATGATATCGAAACAAGCAGCAAAGCGAAGGAAGTTGCTAACAAGGCTATTATAGTACTCATCTTCAACTCAATGTGCTCTTAAATGAAGAAATAAAAGTAGAAAAAGATTAACAGAATTGAAAGTTTGCTTGCTGTGTTCAGTGATTCTGCTTGGGAAGAGAAGTTTATATCCCTTTTTATAACAAAAAAAAAAAATGTAATAAGATTGCACAATATATTTGTAAACACAATACAAGATCCTGCTAAAATTTAGTCCAATATTGAATGAATGTACAAAATGAGAACATAAGATTTGATTTATTGTTATTGCTCTGCCAATTATCAGATATTGTTTTATCAAATCATCAAGAAATATATGCATGAGCTCAATATATGTAAACAAAGATTTGGAACGTAAAATCGAGTTGAGTGATGAAATTAAGATTATTCTAAATGGACCTAGAACAAAAGTCACAAAAATCACAATCCGATTGCAAAACAGATTTAGATTTTGTTTAAATTATCTAAACATGATATATACTACGAGTAGATTAATGTACGTAATTAAAAAATATTGTATCATATCTTTGATTATGATAGGTTTGAACAAATTGCAACTAATTCCACAAAGGGGGATGTTTGTTGCTTGGTCAATGGCTAAGTAGTACGGAGCACATGATGACATGAGCAGCAAATATATTAATTTGTCGAAATATATATATGATGGTCAACTGAATGTGACGGACTGACGGGAAACAGATTATATACCGAGGTTGAGGTTGAGGTGGTGGAGTAGTGGTGTCGGTCTCTACCTCATTTTCATATGGTGTAAGGATCAAATTTCATGGGGCTCATATAAGGAATTTTTCTTATTTCCTCCCTCCCTTAGATGAAGTTCTTTAACCTTAAATACCTGTCTAATTAAGGTCGTACAAGAGTAGAAGACTAGAAGTCCTTAAAATTCCTGGAATATTTGAAAATATTATTAGCTGTAAATAGCTTGTCAAAAAAAAAAAAAAAACGTAAATTGTATTAGGCTACAATGAATAAGAGTATAAGACCATGAATGACACAGGGTACTTACCATGTATTTGACATACTTGATTAAGTGGTAACAAAGTTTAGGTTTCACGATAAAAGCCCTGTATAATTTACTCAAAATATTTGACAGATCCAGTATTAGCAACAGCTTGTAAATGCTGCATCAATTAGTCTATTACCCGAAATAAAGGGAAAAAAAACATTGAGATCGAGAAAGTTAAGGTAGCAGCTGAGCAGCTTGAATATGCAGATGAATAAATCACACGTTAAGAATGTTTCATACAAATCTATATCAAGCCAAGAGGTATCCAACGTTTTAAGTGGATATCCAAGAGTAACATCTCAATAAGCAAGCACTACACTGATCTATTGATTTAATGCCTATACATTCTGTAACATTTGCTTACATAAAAACCACTCTATCCTCCAAAAACCTAATCGCCAGTCGACCAATCAATAATACACTAATACAATTCTAGTAACAGGGTAAGGATATTTCTTGATGCACCCCCAAGACACACAATAAGCCAGAAGGGTGGACGAATAATCAGAACCGGACCTATTAACTATCTGTCAACCACCTGTGGGTTGACATAATACTAGGACTTCAGCCATACCACATAAATCATCCTCACAACCCAAGTAAACCCTGATACAAGGTGCAGCCCAGATCGCATCACTTAACTCCAACAGTCCATGATGCTATGATCCTTTGGTCGTTGCATGACTCCCAAAATATTGATCACATATCATTGCCCCATCCACGGGAAGAGAAGATATTCAAAATTACTATATGCCATTGTTCAACTAACAGCTCCATTTTCTTCGGAGGTGGCAAGACTCAATACGGGTGGTGGGGGGACTGGGTTGAAAGCATTTGTCTTGAGAGGAGAATCGTCTTTTGAGGTTATGACTTTCAATGGCACAACACTAGCCTCTTGAGAAACAGTTTCCTGCTGCTGCTGTAACATTTCAAACCGTTTCAAAGATGGAACATCGCCTTTACAGTACCTGCGCCAAATGTTTCGATATACTTCCTCTAAACCAAGAGTGAAATTCGCTCCGTCGCAGACTGGTGACTTGACCATAAGATCCCGCAAAGTCATCCTTAAATTCGAGAGGGCTGTCACATCTGAAGCCAACTGAATTGCCAGCTGAACATACTGATCTTCAGTCTTGGCAACCAGATTACCTAACCCTGCATGAAAAGAGGCAAGCAGTTTTAATTTGAAACACCAAAAGATAACTTTACCTATGTCCATCGAGAGGTTCTTTTTTCCATATAAAATTAATAATTTAGTAGAAAGTGCAACATTTTGGAATGTTATTTTATTCCCCTGAACACTTTCTGGGAAATGGCCTTTACATGCTTTGCTGACACTGTAAAACGTTTACTTCCTAGGTATACATGTAGAAAGAGTGACTTATGTGTGCAGGGAGGGGGAGGCACTTTTGATGTGATTGTTTGGAAATTTCCTATTCTTAAGGAAGTTCCACTTCCCCCATCCACACTAACTATAGTCAACCAAACAACTCAATGAGCAATTGAAGTATAGCTTGAACAGCTCTAAGCACTTTAACCCAAAAATAAAAATAAAAATAAAAAAAGCTCTAAGCACTTCCCAAAAAGTTTAGCTTCATCTGTCAAACACCAATAGCTGAAGCACTTGCTTAAAAGCAATAACAGCAATATACATGTGTGAAATTAAATTGGAACTTCTATACCTTAAAAGAAATAAAATAAAATAAAATAAACCAACAGACCTGTGATCAAGAATTTGATACTGAAACAACAGAACCAATAGAGATGACTCAGATAAGCATAAATTGGTATATAACAATTTGCTGGCTGCAGCTTTGCCCAAAGCCAATATAAGTGTCCATTCTTATGGAAGAGGTATCAATTACCACTTCAGTATTAGAAAAAAATTTTGGAATTGCTGTAATAATTATGAAAATGATGAAATGCAGTAAATTAACCTGTAAAGAGAACAAATATGGAGTACAGGATGTAATATCTTACCGACTTTACTAAGGAGACTAACGCCAACATTATGAGCATGCACACTGCCAGCCATGGTAACACAAGGAACTCCCATGTAGAGTGACTCACACGTCGTGGTTGTTCCAGCATATGGAAAAGTGTCCAAGCTACATAAAGACAAGAGTATCAAGTATTAGATAAATTAAATGTTCCACAAAGGGAAAAAGAGCGTAAAGCCGCATATTATAAACATATAAAGAACAATTATAAGAAAAGCTTTAAAATGCTAGTGATTAACACAGCATGTGAGAGAGAGAATCAATGCAATTCAATTGAAAACGTTTGGGTAACAAACTTGACAAGCAAGAAATGCATTCATAATAAAACAAATCAGATAAAAATCTAATTATGTTTGCAGTGCTTCAATATAGGTGAACAAGAGAGATCAAACAATGAACATTGAATTGCCAAAAGGAAATAACAGGATACACTCAATTTGCAAGGAAAGTTGCCAAAAAGAATCAGAATTTGATTAATCGAATAATATATGGGGAACATTGAGTATAACTGTATGACCAATTTTAAAACATAAACAAAAACTCCATTTTTCATTCATTTCACTTTGGTCCAGAGGTACCTAGAACATAGTTTAGTTCCACTATCGCTACATGTGGGATATACTGCTCAAGTCCGTTAAACTAAGTAAACATAACTGGAAACTCAGGGTGCCTGGTCCAATTCAGTTCAACATATCGTATGCGTTCATTATGTGTTCACAGGGAGAGGGCATGAGCGAATATGGGCAAAGCTGCAGCTTTGCCCATATTCGGAAGCTGTTCAAAATAAATTGGTATATAGCATAACGGAAGCTCTTCTCACCACCCCCTTCACCATGGAGGTATGAACTTAGGGGGACGAGGTAGAAGAAGGGGGTGGTGAGAAGAGCTTCCGTTATGCTAAAAGTTTGAGAATGAGCATGGTTGATTCAGTATGTTGATGAGATGATATCTGAAAATACTTTTGTCTGTTTCAGGAGGAATGGAGCTGATAATGACTTTTATGACTTATGAGTACATTTGCATCCTTGTTCCAGAGGAGTGATCTTTTGAAGGTGAGAGATTTTAAGCAGATTAGCCTGCTCACTTCAAAAAAAATCCTTGCAAACAGAGTTGGTTTTGTTTTGACCTTGTAAGCTCAGCATGCTATTATAGAGGTTGATAAATTCTAGATGAGGCTCTTGTGACTGAGGAGGTGATTGATGATTTGATGGTGTTCAATGGAATGACCAGGAAAATAATGTTGTTGAAGTGGGCCTTGAGCAAGCGTATGACAGGGTACAGGCAAAATTTCCAGGATAAGGTGATGTGTGCAAAGGTTTTGAGCATGAGAGGGGGAGTAGATTCAAGCCTCAGTTTCTGTCTACATTCACTGGAGCAAAAAGGGATTGAAGCAGGTTCCATCTTCCTCTTTCCTTGGTTTTTATAGGTAATGATCCTTCAAATCTACAAGGAAGAGGTTGAGTAACCTTGAGCCCTTTAGGGTCAAAGTGGTAGGTTCAGTCTCTCATTCCCACTTTGCAGATCTCCACAAATCTAAAAATGTTCTTGCTGTTCTTCAAATGTTTAAAGTTGTTCTAAGGCTCAAGATTAATTAAGAGAAACCATCCCTTAGCAACCTTGTTTGCACAATAGATCAAGACCCTGCTCTGCTGGTTCCGTTGCTTCCCCTGCTAATTGTATGACCCAAATATTTTCTAAGCTATTATCTTGGAAACCCATAAGAGAAACCATGAGAGAACCTCTTTTTGGAACTCTGAGTTGAAACGAGTTTCTAAGAAGCCAACCAGATGAGAACGACGTAGTTTACTATTCTTCATAAAGGCACAGAAAGTACATAACTCTCATGCAGTCCTATTTGTCGAAAGTTTCTCTATAACACTTGTCTCTTCTCTATTAAGGGTTTAAGGATCAGGCGATGTTGCTAAAAGTCTTCTGTGTGGTATGTGTTATATTATTAAATCAAGATAGCTATCTAGTTGGATGAAATAAAATTCATAATTCCAAAGAAGGTAAGATAGATCTTGGAATTTGATACCCAAGGATGTTTCCTAGATCTGGGAAATAATAACACTTTAATGCCTGATTATTTAAAGCAAGTTTGGAAAAAAAAAAAAAAAAACTGTCTCCATAGGAATGGCAACAGGCACACATGCCTCTCAGACACCTTTTTTATTCCTTGACAGCTAAACTTGGTAGTTGGTACAGTATAAAGTCCATGGACTCCATTATAGGAATAAGATTTAGACTTTAAGAGTTATCCTGCATCTATAATTTCACCCTCATCTAAATCATCTCTGCACTTTACATAAAACTCTAATCTTTGATTACCAAATAAAAATGATGTATCATAGTGGAATCTATAGTCAAAGCCACAAAATTCTTGGATGTGCTATCTCAGGCTCCCCAAATAAGAGTATTCTGTCAACGTTTGTTTCACAATTTTGACAAATTCCCCATGTAACTTATAATAAGCATATGACAAACATCACTCTTCCTTTCTTCAACCTTTCAACTAAATTTGTAAAACCAAGGTCCCGAAGAAAATTAAGACATCAATAGGACAACATGATCAGAAAGGCTCAACACTAACAACAATCTGCAAAATTGAAGGCATAACAAGGGCTTATCTCCTGATGTTCGAGACTGCGCTCAAAATTCAAATAGTGGGAACATTGCACTCATCTGTTCTTGCATTGTGAATTTGTGATCTAGCTTCCTCTTTTGTGGAACTCATTTTTTGTGATAATGGGAGTTAGATAGAGTTGTTGACATATTTCTTAAAGTAAGACCCTGGGCCCAAAAGCTCCTAAAGAATTGAAACCGGAGAATAAAGCAAAGACAAGAGCATTATCAATCTCGCATTGGCAGGTCCAAAATGCCACTTTTAGGAGGCATGACAATTTCACCATTCCTAAGAAATTGTAGTGGAGAGCCAGCACAATTTCTGGGAATAAAACTTAAAACTGAAAGAGTGATAGTTTTTGTAAAAGAGTTGTAATTTTACGCCTTTATCTTTGGTGTAATAAAATTTTTACTCTTTATGATGACAATATATGGGGACTAGGTTTGACTAACATCTAGTGTGATTGCTTTTAGAGCACTATTGACCCTTTGTTTACATGTGTACTTATATTTTCTTGTATTTATGAATTATTTCACTTTCACCTAAATGCTTGAAGAAAAAAAAAAAAAAAAAAACAAAAAAAACCAAGCATTAAGGAGAAAAAAAAGAGTCTATAGGGTAGGGGATGGAAGTATCCACATTAGGTTGATTAAGAACTGAAATATTTTCAATGCCTCTAATAGCAATTTAACCTAGTGTGAACAGGCAGTCATAAGCTGATGGACATGCTAATATAATTATCTTAACCATAGAGAGTTGGAATCTATCTCTAGTAGGACCATCACCGTACTATCAAACTTACTGTCAATGTCATTACTGTGCAGATGTATTGTCTAAAAGTAGCAGCATTACTCAAAGCCTGTGCTGTCCTAATGGTCCACGAGAATGTACAAGGATCGCAGTTTAACCCCCCTCCCCCCCCCCCCCCCCGAGGTGAATAAGCTCAGCATCACATATGAAAAAAAGGAAAGGAAGCATAATAATAGCTTGAATACTACAGACCACAACAGATAGCATAACTCCCTAATCAATACCAGAGACGCACATATCATGTAGAGAAAAAAAGAACAAGTTGTTTTATACACTGCACATCAATGATATAGAAAACATTATGCAGAGGTTGGAAGATGAGGTAAAAACATGGACACGCTTCATCATGTAAAACATATGCAAGAAAGTCTGGGCCCTTACCTTATGTCCATGAGAGCATATGCTTGCAGGTGATCATGGTTTAGAAGAATCAAGGGTAATAAATCAACACGTACAGGATCCACTCCCAACTGCTCTAAAGTGGAAAGAAATTTATGTCTTATACTGTCGCAACAAAAGGGTTTGCATTTCACCACTAAACGTGAGTTTGGTACATCACACAAAATTCTAGCCCAAACTTGCAAAACTTTAGGTGTAATCTGAAAAGTAGGCAGAGAGAAGCATTACTAATGATGCATTTCAAGATACATGGCTGACAAATTCAAATAGACAGGAATGCACTCATTTCCAAGGATAAGAAAAACATACCTTTGCTAAATTGTTAAAGCTACCAAAAGTGACGAAGCCATTACTTAGTGCTGGAGCCGCAGAAACAGTGCCAGCTTCTGGAGAAGGTGTGTAACATAGAAACGAATCTGGTAGTCGAACTAAATCCTCAACATGCCTGTCATCGACAAGTTAGTAAGTACAGTTCTTAGTAGCAGGCTTTGCCACTACCAAAGGAAAAAGGTAACATGTACAATACAGCACAAATACATCCAGAGAAAAGCGAGTGTTAAGCCAGACATACTTCTGTTTTGTTTCCGGGGGATCAGCCAGTGCATCAGTAATTCTGTAGTCAATAGTAGGTAAGCCAGTGGTATTTGGGTAGCCAATCCAAGTCACCTGTAACCCAGATGGAAAATGAAACAATTGAAGATGAAATCACTATTAACATTAATGTAAATTATGACACTGTAATTTTCGCCTATATAATAAACCCCCAAACATATAGCAGTTACCTACCATAATAGGATCCTTCTATCCCCCAGCCCAAAGTTCTTTAATAATAAACATTATTTAATGCAAACCATTAAGAGCGTGAAATTTAGTTCATTTATTATCTCCAACAATAATAAAGTCATCAATTGATTAGTAAGAAGCTTCAGAAGGTCATAATCATAAGTCCTCGTATAACATAAGAAAATCAAAAACCATCATGGGGAGCATTTAGAGCATGTTTCTCTCAAGCTTACCTGCAACGGAGCAGGTCGACAAGCCATTGTTCCCAATTTATTATTCGCTGTATGCCCAGTCAGTTCTACAAAAATATCAACCTTGTCTTCTCTGACCATTTGAGCAACCTTTTTCTCATCTATTCCATATATATCTCTCCAGACTCCACCCTTTTTAACTACTTTCTCTCGAAATCTCAAAGTTTTGGCATCTGCCTGCAGAAACAACATGAGCAAAGAAATCAGGCAAAACATCAATGGAAACGATTATCAGAATTTGGCCAGGGAAAATGCTTCACCACTAATTCAAGATGTCCTTGCAAATAAAACAGAGCATCACAAGAAGCCAAAGAATATTTTTTTAAGTAAACAACATGAAAACATACCTTCACAACTGCTGAGTAAACAATCACTTTGTAGCTAGAGTAGTCATGGTGTGCTAGCGGTGCTTCGATAAAATATGATACGGAGTGGGTGAAAAAATCAGGGGAAACATAACCGACAACAAGAGGTCTCTCAGGTTCCTTTGGATTGTCCCATGATGTATACTGTGGATACAGCCTCGTGAACCGCCGACCCCAGTCTCTGCAGAAGCATAGCTCAATTCAGATGAAGCAGAACTGAAAGCAAAAGCTTACATATTCTGGCATATGATACTTCCCTACCCTAGTACCTTTCACTTTAAGTGCAAAAAATCCATTGAAACAAGGAGAATTCCGGGGGGGTTAAAAAACTAACTGAAATAAAGCACCCCCAAACTGAATAAAAAAAAAAAAAGGCATGCCAGTGAAAACCTCATGAATGAGCCTGAAGTGATGAATGAGCCTCATGAAAACCACGTGGTCCCACACAGATGCTGAGCAGCTGAGTCAAGTGCTCACTCGCTCGTGTATTTTAAGGTTTTAGAGGCATGTGTTTACTCCAAATCTTGGACGGTTGTCAGATTTCAATTTCTAAGAATCTCCAACTTTGTACTTGACCTCTTCACAATCAGAAGGAAAATATCTTTAAAACTAAGTATCCTTATATCAGTTAGTTATAGTAGCCCCACCTTTAAGCTTAAAAATCACTTAATTTGATGTGCTTTACATTGACCATAGAGGATAGTTATAATTACCATTACACCACTGATAGGTAAGAGGTGATATATTGGAAGTCTAAGCAGATTACTTTTAGCTAGAAGATAGAGTTACTCCAGCCACAATATCTTGGGAAAAATTCCCTTCAATTGGAAATAATGGTGAATGGTCAGTGTCCCTGTTCCCAATACCTAATATGTGGGACGACTTCCTTAAATAACCCTTTAATCCTTTGTAACAGGATTTATATATAGGGTAAATAAAAAATAAAAAATAAAAAAAGGGTAAAGGGTTTCACAATAGTTACATCGTGTCCTGCATTTCCCATCATTCTTTCTAAACAGCCATTTCAGAAATCCCTATTATTTAAGGTGACTACAATTGTGTGTGACTACAATTGCCAGATGGGAGGTAGAAGTAATACAAAAATAAAAGGTACTTAATTCCAAAAGTACAGTGATCATAAACTAATCCTTGTAAGACATAAGAAGATTTTGTATTCAAAATAGTACAGTGATAATTCCAAGACACAGATAAAAGGTTTCTAATAACGAAACAAAAAAAAACTATGTGTCACATATGTAAACAGCATCTTGTCCCACACGAACACACACAAGAGTTCGACCTATTTGTTGTTAAGGAGGCGAGGAGAGTTGAATTTGATCTTTCATAATCACAGTTCTTTTATATTGAAAAAATATATATTGAGGCAATGATGCTTGAGTATCAAACACAACTAATTCAAAAAAAAAGCTAAGAATACTTAGAAATTAGCACAGACCTGTGAGCCTCGTATAGCTTGTCATCATCTCCTTCATTGATGTAGTTCATAGCAAGTAAACGATTCTGTAAGAAAATCAGATTACATTTAAGATGATATTGAATACTAAAGTCATGAAACAGAAGACAACTCATAAGATGCCTCATAACATTCTTAAGAAATTCCTTCCTCTTTGATCTTTTCTCTGGGATGAGTTCTAGAAATCTCATCCTTTCAAAATAGCAAACAAGTTGAAACTAAATGGAAGACAAGGCAGTAGAAGACATGAAACAAGAGCCCTGGATTTTCTAGCACAACTACAATTAGCTGAAAAACTGACTGATATAGCATGTCCACAAAACATAAAAATACACCATAAGCCCCCACAGTTGTACATAATTCACTGAAATAGACTCAACAGCTTCAAATTAAGAACCAGGGACCACATCTTACAACCTTAAGATGGGTACCTGTGCCATCCTGGATTTTTACAATTGGAAAAAAGTAAAATGCCTTCTCTCAATAGAAATACCCTCTATGTTATTCTCCCATAATCCCATGTTTAGCAGTTGGGATAATATGCAATTACAAATTAAAGACTACACCTAATTCTGGCATCTTATATACAAACATATGTGCATATTGTAGATGACGTCATTAATACACAACTAGACTTTTATTGGACCGAAAGAATTAACCTAGTTCTTCCCCACCAGGAGCTACATTATAATAGCTCCAACCCAAGCATTCGATTGTCGAGTTACATTTTCAGACAACTGGAAGAAAGATACCTGGCCTGCATTGCGCGAATCAGGATCTATCTTCAGACATTGCTCATAAGCTTCAATAGCACGAGAAATCTCACCAGCATCTCTGTATAGAACTCCTAAAAGTACCAATGCAGAAGAATATGTAACGTTCCAAAAAAAAAAAAAAATATCTACTAATAATCTAGTGATAGAAAAACAAATGCCAGAATACCTAAAATGAAAAAGATAACCCCCCCCCCCCCCCTCCCAACACACACACACACACAAATCAATTACCAGTTTTACAATACTGATGCAATATTAACTGAATTGCTACTTTAAAGTCCCAATGGAATATTCCTAGTTAGTTTTAAATACTGATTTTATAACTTTAAGGTCTATCAGGCACAATCTTACAAGACACATAAAAAGGAATGGAGGTAGAAAAAAGCACCATGTTTTCTTTACCCACTTTTAGCTTTCTATAATGGAATCTTTTGAAGGTACCATCAAAATCCAACCTAATCAAAATTAAAGAGAACTTCTGCTCTATGTTTTCCCTAAGTTTGAAAGGTAAAAGAATCATTAAAACCCAAAAAACTGTATCAACCCTCTTGTTGGTAATGTACTAACAAAACAGCATAACTCTTAAGCACTCTCAGTAACATTTCAGCAGGGTCTAATGTATAATAATCAAATTTACCTGTTTGTAAATAAATTAAGGTACAGCAATATGAGGCACAAATTTGAGATCTTAAATGGAATGTGAATGCACAACTATTTAACAGCACATACCTAAATTATTATATGCTTCAGCATAAGTGGGATTTGCTATTATGGCTTTTTCAATCATGCTAGCAGCAGCATCCATTTTACCCTGCATTAAGAGGAAAGACTCAATACCAAGTATTTATATGGTAAAATATTTAATATGAATTAAACATAATATATACCTGAACTGTATAAACAACACCAAGATTATTCAGAGACTGGGAGAAGTTTGATTTAATTGACAGAGCCATCTGAAATGCAGTAGAAAAAGATGTTTAATTTTATTGAGGTATTGATCATTGGCACTATGCCAATAATAAAACACAACAATTTTAAATGATGCACTTTATATTGGAGCTACCTGATAGCACTCGACTGCCTTATCAAGATTTTCACGATCTTTGTAGATAACCCCCAAGTTATTGCATGCTTCAGCACATTGAGGATTGAAATGAAAAGCAAGTTCATAGAAAACAATTGCCTGCAAAGAAAAGAGAATAAGTTTCCTCAAAATCAGGAGACTACATTGACAACAAAATCTCTCTAGAGGGAGAGCTACTCCTTCCAATACTGTTAGCACTCTTAGAAGCAACTACTTGCCTTCCAAAGCTACACCACTTCTATACTAATGTCTCCTATACTTTTTGTTGTTCACCTTGACCTTTTTTTTGTCTCGCAACAAGATTCCAAATGGGAAGAACAAAAAGGATCGGAGAGAGTACTATTTAATGACAGGAAAATTGGAAAGAAATAGAATGCCACGTGTCTCCTTATTGTTTTCCCTTTTTACCACGAGTTTTCCAGTTTTCAATTTCAAGCCCCACACTCTTCCAAATCCTTTCCCCTTCAACTCAAATGACCCTAATGCCCCTTCATGTTCTAATTTCACACTACATCATCATATCCCAATTCATTCTCTTTCCCCGTTGAATGATTCACTATCTAAGCACAAATTGGAATATAGAAGATATTTATAATTTCTAATATTATAACAGCTTATAACTTTTTTTTTTTTGAAGAAATAACAGCTTATAACTTTATTACTATCTTCAATGTTTTTCTGCATGGTCATATTACAAAGTTTTTATAAAAAAATAAAAAGTCACTTTAAGAACAAAACAAAAGCTTGTGCACCACATGGGGTTAAAACTAGTTTTATCAAGATGAAGTACATTTTAAGATGGAATAACAATTTCACACACACACACACAGAATGTAACTTACATTGTCAAACTTCAGCATTTCACCATATGCAACGCCAAGGTTGTACATAGCATCAGCATAATGCCAATTGTAGAACAGAGCTTTTTTATAATATGCTACACCTTGTTCAATGTCACCCTCTAGTTTAACCTGAAAGTGAATGTTTTGAGGAACTTAATTAGATAAAAATAAAATAAAAAATAAAAATACAATGCAGAGAAAAGGGAACAATGAATGGGTTTTCAGATACTCATGGAATCAAGTATATACAAATAATAACCAAAAAAACAGATTAGTGAAGATGCATCAATAATTTTTAAACTGAAGGTCAGCTACAGACCTACAGCTGAACAAGAGAGCTGTGAGGAAGAGGTAACAGACAGCATCAATATCCTTTTACCTTTTATGACAAGTAATAAGAAATTAAATTTGAAAGACGAAGACAGAAAAAACTCATCCCCTCAAGCAATTGTGGGGCATATTATCAACAAAATCAACAACAGTGATCCTCGTAAGCTAACACTTGATCTAGCTCTACAACATAAACAGGTAAGCTATTTCTTAACATAGGTTCGGTAAGGAAACCAAAGTTCATATTTCATATTTCAACTGCCTCCAAGGTTCACCAGCCTCTCTCTCCAAAATGTACAACACAAACGTTTTTAAAATATATATATATATATATATATATATATATATATATATATATATATATATATTTATATATATATATATATATATATATATATATATATATATATATATTCCTGTTAGCTGCAAGGTATATACAAAAGAAATAAAACTACATTATACTGAAACCTTTCCAGAATGCTCAAACTTAAGGAAAGCTTAAAGGGGATGATAACATAGTAGACTGAAGAGAAGTGATATAATCTTTGGGACAAAAGGAGTAGAATGTGAAGATCTAATCCAGGACCAGGAATACAATAAGGATCACTTTCAACTGAAACTTAGAGCACCTTATGTAACAAAAATAATGTAAACTAACACTAGAGAGCCCAAATGTCAATAACTACAAGAAATAAAAGCTTCAAGATAAATCACTATATAACATAAGAAACAATGATCAAAAACAATTATAAAACATAAGCTAAATGATGAACCACAACATACCTTTGTTCCCAAATCGGTCAATGCTATTGCCATATTATTCTTAGCAATCTCAAAATTTGGAGACACTGCTAAACACCTGAGTCAGACAAAGTAGTACAACAAATCAAATTATATACAGATTACATTAGGTACAGTTAAAACATTTACACAGTTGCGAAAATATGATCAGAAATACAATTTTGTATCATTATCGTAGTAAAAACCTAACAACATTTAAGTGCAACTCAAAGTTTATTTCCTATCACCACTAGTATTTATCCTGCTTTTGGGAAGCTCAATTGTATGCAGCCTTACCCTAGATCATCTATTTTTAGCAGATTTTGCCAAAGATCAACTACTGCAGAGATGCTACTTCTGTATAACTTCTTAAATCACTAAAACTTGTAGAGGAAAGAATCCTCGTGAATGCATGTCTTCTCGCAAGTTAAAAAGTGAAGATAAAACACAAAGACAGCCAAGCACATAGAGTCAGAGGAAGGCTACCTCTCATAACATGTAATAGCAGACTCCAGATCCCCTCGGTTCTTGTATATGACACCCATGTTGCAGAACGCTTCAGCATACATAGGCCTTTCTAGTGCTGCCTTTTCATAACATGTGAGGGCAGTGTCATATTGCATCATTTCGGAATAGACAACACCAAGGTTATAGTATGCTGGCTGCATATATAGCATATAAATGCTTAAACCAGTATCATTTGAAAATTGCATATGCTTTAAGAAAATAAATAAGGTACCCTTACAGCATAATGTGGATCTATTTTAAGAGCTTCATAGTATTTCTGAATCCCTTCTTGAGTGTTTCCAGCAAGCTTTAAGCTGGTCCCAATATCAGTCAGAACAATTGCTAAGCATTCTGCCGCTGGCTTATATGTTGGATCAGCTCTCAGAGCCTTTTGATAAGACTGTAAAAAGCACAAAATAAACATCTCAACGATAAATTAGAGCAAAGATAAGACCCAGATCTACTTTACGACAATCGCAACAAAATGCACTTGTTTTTCACATTTCATTGTTTACTATATCCAGTTAATGCAACACATAAGAATGTACCATATAAAGAGGATATATTATCCCCCCCCACCCTCCCTTACTTTAGGTATTAGAAAGGGTAGACTTACAACCCACATCATCTTGTGACACAATGCAAACGAGAATGACTTATTCAACTGATAGTTAGTAGTGGTAGTTGAGTGGAAAAACCTTTAACTAGGTTTATAAGAATATGCAGCAGTACTACACTACTACCCAAAAAAAAAGTACACACCTTTGGCCAAGTTGAACCAATTTGGAAATGCTACATCCAGAAAAGATGGTGACAGAGGAGATTATGCACTAAAGACGACTCCATACATTGTGTACCAGCACAGCCCAATAAAGATTCTAAACTTAAACGAGAATGACCGAGAGGGCAAACCAAAGCTCAACAAATTTTTTAATGTTAAAAGACTATAAACATAGTAAAACTGTCTAAGTTACACCCTCCACAGTGTTTGGCCTTTCACAGGCTACAACCTCTATAACAATAATCTACCATGCCTTTTAAAGAATAAACTTCTTCTATTTCTTTGAAGTTGAAAACAAGTGAGGTGGCACAATTTTAATATAAAAGAGAGAAAAAAGGAAAAGGTGTGAGAAGATTAAGATCGCAATTAATTATGAAAATAAAGTTTGGTAAGTTGATTCATTGAAGGGGCATTGGCGCATTGCGACAGTTATACAGCTTCAAAATTAATTAAAACTGATTGGTTGCAATGTATATGACATTTCCGAAAAATGGAAGTGATGCAGCTATAAATTTGAAGCTACATGTAAGACTCAGATTTGATTATCATAATAAAAAGTACATTTTAGGGCTTCTAAAACAATTTGTCTCAATTCAAAAACATTTTGAAGATAAGAGAGAAATCTAAGGCACCCAAGAATCATTCCTAGTAAACAAGCAAGAGATCTAGTAATGTGGAACTGTAGATACCTGTAGAGAAGCATAATCTAGGAGTGATATTCTTGTTAGTGGAACCAGTGGATTCACTAATTCACACTACAAATGTATATTTCATCCATGATAGTCCAACTGAATCAATTTTAAAAATACAAAGAATTCTGGATTAATTGACGAGAAATAAATTTTAATTCTGCATGTTTTTTGTCGCAATTTCCTAAAGTCACCACTACTCATCAGTTAACTGGACTCCACGAGTATCATAGCTCCAAAATGAAAGAGATAAGACTGTCATATAACCAGGTATATGTATGAAATCTTTCTAAATTATTGTTAAGCTCATACAAGTCTTACAAGACTAAAGTGATCTATTAGCTTACAATTAGAATCTAGCAAAAAGTAATGCTAGAATAAATATATCAAAATAAATTTTGGACAAAAGGTCATGCCAAATAGAATATGCCAGCATTGAAATAGTGCATACTACATAGTTACGTGGTAAAACTATTAGACAATGAAAATAATTACTACGTAGTATATGTTAAGCATCATTGGGTTAAAAAAAATTATTAAAAAAAAAATAAAAAAATAAAAAAATAAATATCAGTGTCACAACATGAAAATATAAGAAAACGAACCAGATTTACTACTAGTCTCCTCAGATTCTATTCTCTAAATTGGTTGCTTCTATCAATCCTTGCAATTGCAAAAAAGATCCTTATGGAAAATAAAATAGAAACAAAAAAGAGATAAACCTAGTAAGAGATGAATGAAGTGTCAAATTGAGAAACAACAAAAGTAGTCCTCAACTAACTAAACAATCACAACTACTAGTAAAACCCGACCACAAAGGGGTTCCTAAGTTCCTAAAATTCCAAGTAGCATCACCACGAAATCCCCCCTCCCAATAAAGAAAAGAAATAAAAATAGGAGTCAACAAACAATCACTATCCTGCAGCATCTAGGTCCTTGGCATCCTTCAGATAGATGCTTAGGTAGGACCACTCCTAGTGTTTCATTCCGAGTGTTTTGCCATATCAACGTAGAAAAGACTCTATTCTAATGGTTCGAAAATCTCACAGCCAATAGACATTGGGGATAACTAGAACATAACAATCAACCACTAATGTTTCCCCATTCTAGCAAGTAATATGGAGTAGAAATGTAAACAATAAGATTTACACCATATTACATCCTTCTCGTGCTATTTCGCCCACTCCATTGGACAATTAAAAATGTCAGGTTCTCATAATGAAATTTCAATATTCTCCAAAAGAGAATTCACTTGTAATTGCTTGCTTTTCATTTGAATACAACTTCATTTAGTAAATGCCAAAAATGACATACATTTGTAAGTAGGGCATTCATATCCAAGTATCATACTCATATGAATTCTAATTCTTCTAGCCTGTAACAACTAAGCAACATGCAAATGCTGATTTTTGTCAATTGCCATTCACCTATCTACAATCTACCAGACGATGGTCAAAATTTTAGTAGCAATTAACATATTAAACATACGGATAACAAATGTTTATAAAAGCAGATTCTAATACAACAAATAATCCCTTGACATAGCCAGGGTCTCAGGAATCCAAAAACAGACAAAAAAAATATATACAGGAGGAACCATTTCTTTGGATACATAACAAAGAGATAGGTAGAAAAGAAACTAATTTATGTCACCCGTGAAAAAAAAGAGTGCAGGATGTCACCCATGAAATAAAAAAAAGGAATGCAGGAGAATGTCTCAATTTATTTTTCATAGTTCATTAGGTCAGGAAAAATGCAAAAGGTATACAAGGATAGATGTGTCTTGATTCCAAAAGCACTCGTGAGGAGTAGAATCATTTATGGTTGACCTATGGGCTCAGAAAGCTTCAAAATTCATATTGTTGGTTTATGCAACATCACTAAAGATTGGAGGCAGGAGCCGACATCTTATTCTCCACGTCAATGCTCAACAATTTGCTATCCCATAACTTCAAGTCCCTTACTTTTTTGAGGTCCTCTTAGCATTTCAGAGTACTAATTTACATAGTTTGGCCTGTTCATGTTTATAAAGACTTCTAAAGTAGCCAAAATAAAGAAGACTAACCAATTATGCTCCCTCAACCATAAATAATTAATGATGCATTTATCTGATCCTACACCTTGTATTATAAGCTATGCTACACACAGTTATATCATTGCTATACAACCAACAAGCCACCCAATACATGAGCATAATCCACCCTACTATATCATAGATTCATAGCTATAATACAGCTCAACTGTTCAGAGTGAAGCAACATAAGAAGCATACCTCAGCAGCATCTACCAATCGACTGTCATCCTTGTACAAAATACCACAATGCGTAAGGGCGCAAGCATTGTTAGGATCAAGTCTTATTGCTTCGGAGAAACTCTCAAAAGCAAGCCTTCCCTGGTTTTGCATTTGCAAGCATATCCCTTTTCCTATAAAAGCTTCTACATTCTCCTTGTCCTTGTCTAGTAATATTCCTTCATATATTGCCAAAGCCTCCGCGAATTTATTTCGGGTACGAAGAATGTTTGCATAAGAGAGACTATCCTTCACATCAAGTTCCTTTTTCAAACTACCATTACAAATTGGAGACCCTGACCCGTTTTCCGTTGTTGGACAAGATGCTTTCAGAAAACCATTCTCACATGGTGGTGATTGCTTCTCAGAACTGTTATCAACCAGCTTTTCCATCCAAGCCATACAAATAATCCTGATTTCTGGAAAGAACTAACAACGTCGATTATTCGAAACGACTTTGCTGCATTATGTATATACAATCAATCAAACCCAAACAATAAACTAAATAATCCTTAAATAGAATAAATACGTAGTACTTCAGAATCAGCTACATTTCACAATAATTCACAGAATTGAGAAAAAACACTATAAACCCATTATAGTGAAAGCAGAACCAGCGCTTAAGAAAGAGTTTGAAAAGCTGGCACGTCTTAACTTGGCTACGAAACTCTGCCATACTGGTAAACCTTATCCTTATGCTCGTTCCACTCGTTAGCTTCGGTAACAGGAGTTTGATCGAGGTCGGATTTAGGAATAGCAACGGGAGATAGTAACCAAAATCACTTCACAAAACACAAAAACCCTACTTTCGTAACATACTGAATCACAAAACAGCTAAAATTTGTCAAAATAGTAATAAAACCCCAAAACCCATCAATGGCAAAAACAAAAACATCAAAAGGGGTTATTTTTCCCGCTTAAATTATCAAAAAAAAAAAAATGAATACAATTTAGGAAACAATCACTGCTAAATAGAATTGAAAGAAAGACTTACATGAGGAAGAAAGGGGAAATTAGGGATTTGAAAACCACATTCGAAGCAACCCAACCAAGTGTAAGTAGTATTATTGATGATGAGATAGAAAGAGAAAGAGGTGGTAAAAATAGGAGAGAAATTGATGGGAAAAGAGTGGGTCCCACCTCTCTGTTTTCTCTCTCTTGTTCAAAGAACACTCCCAGAAACTGGAAAAGTATCAGAGAAGGGAGTATTTTGGAAGGGGGAAATGGCAATAAAAGTCAGTTGGGGAAGAAAAAGCTTCGCAAACGGCAACGAAGCGTGTAAATTGTGCGATGACATGTTGGTGGGAATGGTTCTTGACCCAAACCCACTTAAATTTCAGGCTCGATTTCTTGTGAGCGGGTTTGGAACAAAACAACGATTCAATCATAGTTAGATCATTATAATTGGGCGTCAAATTATTGGGGTTACAATGTGGGATTTGAGTCAATCCTAATCGAGTTTAAGTCGTGCTAAAATATTCTAGATCAGGTCACTTTCAGGTTACCACCATACTTAAAAACCCTAAAATTTTCTTTGTTCTCTCTCTTTAAACCTAGCCACCATAATAAAACTTAGGGGCTGCCATCGATTTTTATCGATGGTAAGCTCCAAATTCTTCTTTAATTTAATATTTTTAGCAAATAAAGATCACCAACAGTATGGTGATTATAGTCAGTCCCTCCATGTAGGGTTTAGTATTGTTTGTTTGTTTGTTTTAGTGTGTGCAGGGATACAAATTTGGAATATTCGTCTTGCAAATTTGTGGAATCGCGAGTCTGTTGGTATAGTGGTACATATTTAGAAGATTCGTCTTGCAAATTTGCAGATCTTGATGACCAATCAAGTTTTATCAATTTTGCGACTATACATCAATGGAGCTCTGACAAGAATGATGCAAAGATATCTAAAATTATCCAGGAGTAGTTCAGAAGCGATGCTATTAGTTTAGGGGTGTTTAATTCTTGTATTGAAAAAATTTAGATCTTTTAAGGGATGATTGTAAGTGTTGAATGACTATTTTTATTTAATGAAATCCCCCCTTCCTATTCCATTCAAAAAAAGAAAAAAAAAAGTCACTTCCAGGTTAAGTTGGGTCTATTCATATCGAGTTATTTTTAATCTCTACACCTACAAACCCTCTAATTTTGTTGTAGTAGTGTCATCTCAATCTGCCAAATCATAAAACGTTGTTCACCCTAGCATGTTTTGATCAATGGCAAGCATTTCAATTGCACAATTACTTGTGTTCCTAAGATGTGGCACACTCTCTTTGTTGATTTTTATTACATAAATAATATCATCATAAAAAAATGAAAGCATGTTTATTTAAAGGGATAAAAAAAAGGAGAGATAGCGTCATAGGGATGGAGGGGTGGGGTTTTGATAAATATTTTAATATGTATAAGGGGTTAGGGATTATGAAGGGAAGGGGGATGGGATAAAATTGGCTCTTATTCTTCTATTTCAGTGCTAAGGGGGTGTTATAAGAGGGAGGGATAAGGTCATAGGGATAAGGCATAAAAAAACCCTTTTACCTTACTAAGGAGAAAAAACATTTGGAAGGAAGAAAATAATGGAGGTATTTTAGTAAGTTTATTCAATATTCTAATCATATTCTCTACCCATTCCAGACAAGGGATAATAAATATATTATTCTTATCTCTCATATTTATTCCTTATACCCTTATCCCTACCTCTTATTCTACTTATCCCTATCCTTCTTGTCAAACGCCCCGTGAGAGATTAAAAATACTTTTATACACACATGGTTAGAATAAGTATGCCTAATTTTTAGGTGCTCTTTGTTCTTGTAATTTCTTTTCCTCCTAAAGATTGAAGAACTTTGGGATGAAAGGAAAAACCGAAAAAGTAAACCAAAATTTCATTTGTTTGATTTGATTTTATAAGCTATACTCTACGAATTTCAAAATGATGTATTGTAATATTGATTAAAAAGCTCAAAATTTGACTACAAATTTTCACTAACATGCAAGGACAAACGTAATCAAGTGTAGTCTTGTTAAATTGTCTCAATATGTAGTTCCAAAAAGTACAGTTGTCCTATATATTAGGTTTTACACTTTTCATTTATAGTTGTCCCAAATTAGTTCTTAAAATTCCTTTTTAGAAAAGGTCTCATTATTATTTTAATACATCTCTCTTTCCATTAAAAAAAGTCAAGTCCCACCCCTCTCTTACACATTTATTAAAAAACATCCTACTATCTAACTATCTTCTATCAAAATATAGGGATGTCAGCGTGGCGGGTCAAGTAGAAGACCAGCCCCAATGAATCTACGTTTTCATTATTTTAATTCATCTACGTTTTGTTACAAAAAATGAAAATTATGAAACAATTTATAGGGAATGCATTTGATTTTGTAAAACTTGGGATAGACCTAATAAAATAACAACAAAAGATAAGATATTAGTATAAATTTATAGATTTATGGCTTTCAAAATCATAAAATCAAAAACTAAAGACCAATAGTATATCAAACAAGTCCGATTTCCCTAAGCGACCTAGTTACTCAAATTGAGTAACAAGATCCGCATTTCAAATAGCATTTTGAAATTTATGAGCAACTTGCTAAAAACCTTTTACTATTTTTACATGTCGACTCATATCCTTTCTCCTATCTCCTTCCGTCTTCTTCAACCTGTCTTAGCTTCTTTCTTTCTCATCAACAATGGCGGACGAATTTTGACACCACAACAAACACCATGCCACCACTAACACCATAACATACCTCTACCCCAACGCCACCTTCTCCGCCAAGGACGGATCTAGGGTGTGGCCAACTAGACCATGGCCCGCCCCATGATTCAAAATAATATAATAAATTTAAGTTGCATATGTATAGAATGGAAATAACTTGGTTTAGTTGGTTGGATCACTGTCCATATAACTCTTGAGTTTATAGATTGAAGCTTATTGCCATCAAATGTAGGTTTTTTTTTTTTTTCAATTTTTAATTTTGTTACATTGCTATTTCCATTTATTACCAAATCTTCGGCCTTTTTCTTTTTTCAATACTAGAGTGGTTAACGCACGCGACGCAATGTACGTGCATAGCTAGCCATGTCCGGGAGTCTCTTTCATTTTTTTTTATTTTTTATTTTTTTTTATGTTACACCATTAGTAGTTGGTAACATTAATGAGGGAAAATATGTAAATGAAAATTTTTAGGGGTATTAATATATGCACACCATTATTAAGAGTTCAATAAAAGAGTCAACTACCATTAAGAGCACTCTCACTCATGGGCATTTTTTTGCCCTTGAGGAGAATTTTACAAAAAAAAAAATGGATTTATTGCTTCCCACTCATGAGCACAAAAAAAAAAAATTGCCCATAAGGAAGTAATGAAATGCCCATAGCAATGGCTAATGAAATTGCTACAGAAATAGTTGATTGGTGGGCCATGTAAATAAAATAAAATTAAAAAAAAAAAGGAAAAGCTGGGTCAGCAAAATAAAGTGTCATGAGTGTGTAGAGAGAGAATTATCTAGAGTAAAAAATTAGATAATGATAATGGGTAGGAGAAAGAGAAAGTAAAAGAGAGAGTGGTGTGAGTTATTTTTCTTAGCCCATGAATGTGTGAGAAGTTATAAAAATAAAATGCCCATGAGGTAAAATGGGAAGGAGGAGTGAGAAAGTGGGTAGAGTGAGAATGACATTTTCTTAACTCATGAATGAAAGTGGTCTAATAAGAACAAATAAGCAAATAAACAATTTTAAGGGTATAATTGTCCAAACATTATTTTTAAGAGTTATCTTAAACTTTTTAAAAGGTAGGAAAGAAAGGTAAAAAAAAAACAAGCTAAAAAGCTAGGTTACACATGTGGTAAAAAAAAAAAGGAAAAATGGCACACATGTGTTTGTATGCATAAATGAGAGTATATAACATTATTTATAAGCGTATAATTAAACTTTTAAAAAGGTAGAGATATTTGAATTTTTTTTGCTCAAGGATTTATAAATATGAACTTAGTATAATATTCTTTCTTAGTCTTTGTGGTAGAAATCTAAAACTAGATTATCTTATGAATATACTTTAGGGGTGTTTGGTTCATCAAGTTAGTTTAGATTAGTATGCAATCTCATACTAGAAAATTATGGATTCTAAAACACATTATAGTCCAAAGTTGTTTGGTTTTATTGTTGGAATGGATTCTATCCTAGATTAATAGAATGAATTGTGAATTTTAAGGGAAGAGGTGGGTATGAGATTCCATGGGTATAGAAGAGAGTTAGAACCCCTTGAGTATGAGATTCCATTACTAAAAGCCTTAACAATTATTTAGAGTATTAAAAAAAAAATGAATATAATTTAGAGACCCAACCCGGTCCATATTCAATTTCTAAATCCGTCCTTGATCTCCGCCGCCTAATAAATGCAAAACCTTAAAAAAAAAATGGTATGGTTCACTCCCAAATGGTAGGTGTTTGTTTGCCAACCTTCCCTTTTCCAACAATGAGTTAACATTGTCAATCTTTTGTCTTACTGAAACGACAGAAATAACCCCAATTGTTTGACAAAAAGACGAAAATAACCCCTTTGAGAAACCTACAATGTTATAGTTGTACGGAGTATTTTCTCGATTTTCTCTTTTTTTTTTTTTTTTCCCCAACCCATTCCTTTCTTCACTAAAATTGAACCAAACAAGGCTTAAGAGTCCTACGACGACCATCAAATTCTCTCTACACATTTTGCTGCTGGGGTGACTTTCCCTTTCCATGCACTCTTCACTCCACAACAATTTCCCAATTACAATCTTCAAACAATTTGATCTTTCAATTCACAGAATTTACCAAATCACAAGTTGATAATTTAATCAAATTCTTTCAATCATGGCGATGACAGTAGAAGGTTCAATTCTTTTTACTTATAATCGTTTTCTCTCTCCTAAATTCCTGTTTAATCTTTTGAATTTGATCCTTTTTTTTTGCATGATTAATTCAAAGTTTCGGTTATATATGCTTGCTATTTCGTTTCTGAATTGCGTCGAGGTTGAATCATAATGTTGAGTTGTGAATTGTTCATAATTTGATGGTAAAGAAAGTTAGGGTTTCTCTTTCTTCATTGAATTTCAAGAGTTTTTATGTTTAATAAATTGGGGTAGATTTTGAAATTTTCTTTTCCTGATTGTTTCGATTGAAATTGGTGAAGTATTGTACTGTATTACTGTAGTACGTTATGATGATGATATTTCCCCAAAAAATATGATTATTGTGCTGACTGTTTCTTGTTTGGTGCATTATTGTGGGCTTGCTGGCTATTGATTATTGCGTCCTCTTGCAGTGTAAGTACCGATATATTAGGGCTTGTTTGACATCGTTTTTTTGTTTTAGTTTTCTGTTTTTATGAAAACAAAAAACCAAAAACAGGAAACAAGAAACAAGAAAAAGGTGTTTCGACTATTCTGTTGTCAGTTTTGAAAATTATCATGATTTTAATAAGTTTGACTAATTTTAAATTCATTATATGACATATATCATATGATTTTAAGAAACAAAAAACCAAAAAACAGAAAACCACAGTGATGCCAAACGAACCTTAGGAGCTTGTTTTGTATTATCCGTATTTGTTTAAAGCGGAGATTTTGACTTAGTTTGCTTAAATTTGCAGGCTTTGTGGGCTTGCCTTTACGTTTTCAGTCAGTATCATGTTGCAGATACTGGTATGTCTTCATATTAGTTTCTATTTAGTTGTGTTTTGGGTTTAGACGCGTGCTTTGTGGACATTACTTAGTTGTTCTCGCTTCTTGCTCCACATTGAAGCTTGTCTTAATCTGAAGTATTCGTTTTCTAATTTTGCTTTATCACTTCTAGTTTTGGGTGATCAATTTTCAGTTTGGATGGATATTTTGTTTCTTAGATTCATGCGTTGTTCAATGTATCCTTTGGTGCATATGGCATAGCTTTTTAACTAATATGAGAGTGCAATTTTAAGAGTTGCTCATCCTAGCAAGATATTGTAAGCAAATATTATGTGACCATATAAGTTCAACACATTACACCATATAAGTTTGTATCCATATTAATAAAATTTTGCTTGTTTTTGGTCACCAGAGGGGAGTGTCGAGGGTTCTTGGGTTAAAATGTAGAGTTGGAAGTAACATAGATCTCCACTGTCATTTCCACATAGTTATACTTTCGTACTTTTCTTTTTTGGTTTGGTATTATGAAGATGCCACTGAGTGTTGAGAGCTATTATTTGGTGCTTTGAAGATCCACTTGATTAGTTTGTACAAATATGCGGGATACGGATGTACCATTTTTAACTATGTTATCATGCAACCCTATCAGAAAAACAAGAAAAAATGGAAAATAAAAAGAGAAAAGCATGTGCTTCCAGGATTTGGAAATTGGGTTTTGAGTTATGACACCAATTTTGTGAGTTGAAATGATGTCAAAGGTGGGTTAAGTAGGCAAGCCAAGGGGAGATCCGTGACTTTTAAATGGGAATGTAAATCAACTTCAAATTGACAATGTTTTACTTTTACAGGTCGTCCCTTTAAAAGTAATCTTTAATATGGGAGTTCATTATTTAAAGAATGTTTTTGCATTTAAAATGTATTTCCTCTATTCCACAAAGCCTCTTCTCACCCTCTATGATCCAGATACCTCAGAAAAAGAAATATAAATTAATACTTGTAAATTGTAACTTCTTTTTGAGGAAAGACATAGAACTTAATAATAAATCTGCCCGCACAAGGTTGGCAAAGTCGGCGTAAAATAATAGTTTATCTCTATTAAAAAAGAAATGAAGTAAACACGGGAAGAGCTTTATGGATTGGTCCGAAAAGAAAAGTGGGAAGTACTCCATCGAACAAAAGGAATTTATGAACTTGGCCTAATTTTTGTTATAACGGGCGATATGTTTTCTCCTTTTATGGGTTATATATGTCCACCCTTATGCAAGCTTCTCCATACCGGAGGAAATTGTTGGCAAGCAAAAGCATGGTTGAAGGACTATATAGATAGGGAAGTGTGTAGGGAAGGGAGGAAATCTCTTGTGACTTTGAGAACACCAGAATTATCATAGGGAATAAAGCATAAGGAGTATGAAATATTAAAGGAGATTGTAGGCATTTCTTTTTAATAAAAAGCAACTCCTATCCTAAGGAAATCTCTTGGTGACATGTAGAAGAGTATTTGGAATTTGGACTCATTTTTTAGTGCAATATGGATAAATAGTTAGTGACATTGACGAGGAAACTAAAATGTTAATTTTGGAAATGGTAAAAAACAAATGTCCTTTGATGACAATAATTTTAGTCAGGATAGTTGCAATTGTTGAGATCTTATCATGGAATAGAGTAATTGTGAAAGGGCTGTGAGGAATTTTATGGTTTAAATATAATTTCTTATCCTTGGGAGATTTCCGTTTCAAGTTACGAATCTGAGTTAGGCTGTATACCTTTTTCATATAGTTTTCCAAAAATTAAATAAACTACTATGCATCACTAGATTGTTATACTATGTAAAACACTATTGTGCTATATTTAACATTCACTTCACTGTCCAATTAGTCAAAAGTGCTCCCTCTTGAATGTCCTTCCTTAATAAGGTACTAATAGTGTGATAGATTCAACATTCACAACACAAACACACGAGTATAAGAGAGAACAAAGAGATTCAGCTAGCAAAAGATAATAGTTTGATTGAATGGTTTTAGTAATTTTAGGTTACAACTCTCCAATTAAGTATGAGGATACAAATCTTAAATACACAAGCCTAATTACATGCCTTTTTTACTACCCAACATTCATTATATATCCAATGCAAAACTACCAAAAGCAATTGACATTTAATTGTTTTTGTCTCATTCAACATTGATGCTACTACACTGCTCCACTACTTGTTGTGTGCATCCTCCTGTTACTGCTTGTGATGTGGCTGATTGAAAAACTTGCTTGCCATGCTTTCCCTTTCTCTGATATTGGAAGCGTATTGGCGGCTTAGGTGATCCAACCATTGGGTCCATTACAACTAGTTGCTCATTGAAATCCTTGCTAGGTAAAACCCTATGAGATAAAAAACCATAGCAAGGAAAAATGTGCAACTATCATCTATTTTATGCTCTTGTGTATCGCCTAAATTCTGTCGGGAAAAAGGGAAAGAGTTTAGTGAGTATAAAATACGTATAACATTTCCTTTGAATTCAACATAGGTCATGATGACGACACATCCCAATTTTGTGTACCAACACTTAGTTTGATGAAATGGATCTAATCAACTAGATTCACTTGATTGAATATATTGGAAATATATCTTCCGTGAAATTCATGTGTGAATAAGAGTTTTCGTGATAGGTTTTTGGTTTTATCCCTTTGATATACCCTTTATTTACTTGATACAACCAATATCATCTCCATAGATGATGGTTTAGATGTTCAATTACTTTGTTTATTCCTTAATCTTCATGTATATTTTTTTTATTGACTTGAGACATACACACTCTTGTCCAGCTTCATAAAGGGCTCATTTTTGCATGATTGTTGATGTAGCGGAATCTGTTTAATATTTTAGTATTTTTATAAATGAACAAATATCACTTTGACTTGCCTCGATTGATAAATTATACATCTTGTGTTCCTTGAAGATAACAAAAATAATTTTTTTTTTATCATGTTCTAATATTTCTTTATTTGTTGAATTGCTAAGAAGTTAAGAAGTTCACAATAAAGTTTAAAAATGTCAGGTCTAACATTGTTTGCCAAATACATTAAGATGCTAAACACACTTAGGTATGATACATCGTGACTAAGAAAAATAAGTATTACTTCTTCATGAGGTCGAAATGGGTCATCTTTCACCTTCAAAGATCAATAGTACGTTTTCCTCAAAAAAAAAAAAATAAAAAAAAAAGAAGATCAATAGTACGTCCCCAATTCTCACCTCTCACCTAAGACATATTTTCTCTTGTGGGGGGGGGGGGGGTGCTGCTTTTGGATTCATTGTTGATGCCCCTTTGATTATTTTTTAAGGAAAAATGATTTTGCCACGTTTACAGCATACAACGATTATATCTTCTACGTTCAAATTTGGGAGCAACATTTCCATATAAGTGAATATGAGCTGTCTATTGCATTCATTTTATTGAATGCCACAGATTGATCTAAGAATACGATTCTTCTACTTACCATTATTCTTGTAAATAATAAAAAATAAAATGGTCAATTTAGAATATTTTGCAAAGCCTCTTTAGCTATATTATTGTAATTGTATAATATTATCAACTTAAAATTTTGAGAGTGATTTCTTTATCATTTGATTTTCAGCGATCTGGATGTTTACAATGTCTCAACAGTGATACAATTCTAAAAAGTGTTCAAAATCTTATCATTAGATTTGTCCATCCATATTTTGCTCTAGGGATGCCCTTTTGTGGTATCTGTACCATTTCATTAAGGTATCCCATAATCTTTGGGATTTTCTATTGGGAGTTTATTTGACCCTCGGTTGAAAAGGTCACTTCTTCACAAGATGAATTGTAAGATTAGTGGGGTGTTTGGTCTGGTCCATTGTATTATAAATTGAGAGGATGCTGATCAGCTTCTATATCAGTTCCACTGATAATAATTATGTTTTGATAAGCTTTTTAATTTTGACTGGATGGCTCTATTCTGCTAGTTTTTACAGGTTTCCACTTTCCAGATCTATCTTGAGCAACTGCACTTTGTCCAGTCTCTGTTTGATGATTTAAAATTCTTTGACTTCTGTTTGTTTGTTGCAGGCTTGTGCAATTTACAGTAACTGGTGGCCTTTGTTGTCAGGTATGTTCTGGTGTCTGTACATTAGAGAACAGAATTTGATTATACTTGCATTGCATTTTGATGACTAGGTTGTTATGTTTCTTGTAGCTCTAATGTATGTGGTAGTTCCTATGCCATGCATGTTCTTTGGAGGTGGCTCCACGCAATTCTTAGTAAGTCGAGATGGTGGAGGGTAAGACTATCACTTTATATTACATCAAATCATCAATTAGCATTTTGCAGTAATGGTGTCCAACATATGCCTGCTCAGATAGTTAGTGGTGGTTTGGGATACCTGTATTTGTGTTAGGTATGTGGGAAAGTATGGCAAGCCTAGAAAATCTGGTGAATTGACTAAATTCAGCTCATGTAGCATATTATATTTGATAGCTTAATATGTTATTGATGATATATAGATATTTTACCAAAAGCCTTGTAGCCTGTAGACATTGGTTTCATGGTGTGCAAGATGACTTTTACAGAACTTTTGAATGTCTACATCTCATAATGAAAGAGTAACTTGAGTCTGCTGTTTTTATAATGAGCTGTCTATCTGTTCCCTTTTCAGAATGAAATTGATAACGGATATTATCCTTTTAAGTCCTATTTGGTATACACTGTATGAAAAAACCTGGATTGATTACAGTTATTCATTTACTTACATATGTAAACCAATGGGCAAAGTAGTAAATCATGTCAGATACTTTGTAAAAAAAAAAAAGAATTAACCATGTGGGTGTTAGAGAAAGGAAGAGAGAGAAGAGAGAAAAAAAATGGGACTCATCGGCGGAAGGAAAGGCATAGGGGAAGATAGAGATAGAGAGAAAATCAATTGACGGCAAGGTACAAGAGAAGAGAGAGATAGAGGGAAACTTATTTTTTGACTTCTTAATGGTATTATTTCCAATTTCACAATTTTTAGGAATAATGTCATGTTACACACTTCGGTAATTGTATCACTATAATCTGCTAGAACACCTTTGCACTGTAAATAGAAGAATTGGAAACAATAAGATTCGACGCTTTTCAATTACGTATGGAGAGTAATTAAGATGATGGGGGTGAATAATGTGTATTTTTAGTTTTGATTAGAAGAGACTAAGCAAGTGCCCTATTCTTTAAGGTGTCGATATTTAGGTTTAAGTGAGGGAATAGCTTTGTAATATATTACTGCAATTATGTTGAAGCCAATGTTATTGTCCTTTAGCCTTTCTTGTTCTCTGAATGAAATTTATAGCTAGGCTTAAATATGACAGGTAAATGCTTTTGTGAGCATTATGCATATTTCATGAATTGTTGGTAATTCAGTCGGCTACGTTTTCACTATTTGTGGGTACATGCTAGATGTCTGACAGCATATTGCATATTTTTCGACTCTTTGCTTAGAGTTTCATTTTGTTCTCTGTGTGTTTATTTGCAGTTGGATAGATGCTGCTAAGTTCTTGACGGGAGCTTCTGCCGTGGGAAGCATTGCAATTCCTATGATTCTTAGACATGCATATCTGATAGAGACAGGAGCTATGCTCATTGAATTAGCATCTTTCTTCTTATTTGTCTGTACTGTCTTGTGCTTTCACCGTGCTAGCCTTGATGATGAATGGTAGGGAGCAATTAAATATTGAGCTATCTGGAGTTGATAGAAACAGAAGGCTTTCAGTATCTGTTGTTGGTAGCCGCTGGAAGAAAGCGGTGTGATATGAACTGTACACTGGTACATAAAGAAGCTTTAGTAATTTACATTCTCGTGTCCAGCAAATGTATATTTTGGGTTGTGGTGTTTATTGAAGCAACATACTAATTCTTGTATTATCTTATTTCCTGGATCCGTTGTTGAGTTCATTCTTGAAGCTAATGTATCAATTCAAGGCTGTGGTGTTTATGTGAAGCAAGATTTCTCATTTTACCAAAGCTGAACTTAATTCCTGAAGTTCTTACATGTTTTCTAGTAGTTTCCAAAAGTTTGAATTGAATGGGGTTAAATTCTGTTTAAGATTTGGGAAGGTAACTTTGTGAAATTACCGAATACGTCATTCAAACTATTGTAAATGTTTTTATTTATTTTTTTTTTTTTTTTTTTTTGTGATGGGAAACTGAGCTCAAACTTTATTAATTAGTCAAAGGGCTTAAATAAGCCATTACAAACTCAGAAATACAATGAGGAACTTCCTCCAACCAAACTCTAAGAGAATCAAAAGAAGAAGAAAGTTTAGCAAGTTCATGAGTAACACGGTTTCCATTTCTTTTGACAAAAGAAAAAGAGAAGGAAAGACATCCACTAGCAAGTTGGAGAACCATTCACAAGCATACCAAAAGCAGTAGGAGGAGCTAGACGCTTGGAAAGATGGCTATGCAACTTGAGGCAATCGGTTTCCATACAAACTCTACTAAAGCCCGATTCCATAGTGATTGCTAATGCGTGTCTCATAGCTAATGCTTCTGCAATATCAGCATCAAATTTGCCCTGTAAACACAAGCACGTCGCAGCTACAACATCTTCAGCATCACGCATTCCACCACCCAACCCCACGCCATTTGAGCTAAAAATCGCAGCATTGAAGTTAATTTTTATGACACCTTGCGAGGGATATCGCCACTTGCTCTCCAATTTGGGCTGAGTAATACTCTGGGATAGCGATTCCTGAGCTTGCAAATAGTCCCCAACAAGACCAACAACTTTGTGAATAACATCATTCACCTCCTTCTTCCACCCTTCAAAGATCCAAGCTTTCCTGCGAAGCCAGATCCCCAATACCAAACTCCAGAACACATTCCACTACATAGTGTCTTTATGAGACTTACGAACACTGGCACACCAGTCGCCAAAAGAATCCCCTTCAAATCTCTCCACCTCTAGCCTCAATGAAGAGAGATACCAGAGGCGCTTAGCCTCCTCACAACGAAAAAGCATATGCAAAATGCTTTCTTCCTCAACACCACACATTGGACATATGGGGTCAGTAATCATACCTCGATGGATCAAGCTTTGCCACGCAAAGAGTTTAATCTTGGGTAGAACAATAGCATTCCAGACTACATTCCACTCAAAATTGCAGCTTGATTTGGAAGTGGAAGGTCTATCATTTTTTTGCTCCATTGTGGTCAAGTTGTACGCACTCCGAACTGAATAGCGCCCATCCTCGGTGAAATTCCAAACCATTACCCATAGATTTTCTAGCCCCTTTCACAAGCACCTCCCGAGCCCCATTATTGACCTCCAAGTGTAACTTGAAATTGGACTCACTTTTGCCTCCAGAAAACCCGAATGAGGGAAGTATTTCCCCTTTAGCACTCTCGCCACAAGAGAATCCGCATTTGACAAAATTCGCCAACCTTGTTTCGTAAGAATAGCTTTATTGAAATTTCTCGTATTTCTAAAGCCGAGCCCCCCTTCTTTCTTTGGAGTATACAACTTGTCCCATGCCACCAAACACATTTTCCTTTCCTCTCCTTTTTGCCCCCAAAAATTGATGATACAACTTTTCAATCACATTTAGAATGCTAACTGGTATCGAGAAACACTGCATAGTGCATTGCATAAGTTGGAAATTGGAATTGCTTGCGCTATTGCCTTAATTACCCACTTGAGACAAAAAAATTTCTATCCACCCCTTGAATTTTTTCCAGACACGATCAATATTTTGAAACACTTGTTTCTTCAAACCACCAATGTAAGTCGGTAAGCCAGATACTTGTTATGTCCTTCGACAACCTTAAATGATAACTTCATCTAAAGCATATTTTTCCGTTCTTGATCAATGTTTCGGCAAAAGGATACTTCCGACTTATCCATATTCAGTTTCTGTCCTGAGGCCACTTCATAAGTAGAAAGAATGTTAAGCACATTGTCCACTTCCTCTTCCGTTGCTCTTACAAAAAGAAGACTATCATCCGCAAAAAAATATATGAGAGATAGGATTCACATGCCTACCAATTTTTATACCATGGATGAGCTTCTTACTCTCGGCATCACGAAGCAGTCGATAAACCTTCCACACACATAATAAACAGGAAAGGTGAGAGTGGATCACCTTGCCTAAGACCCCTGCTAGGCTTGAAACATCGCGACGGTTTCCCATTCACCAGTACATAGAACTCTGCAGAGCTAACACATTTCATAATCAAACTCAAAAAAATTCCGACAAACCCAATTTAATAATTATTTTCTCTAGAAACGCTCACTCCACTCTATCATAGGCTTTACTCATATCGAGTTCGAGCCCCAGGAAGCCTTTTTTCCATGTCCTTTTCTTCCGGAGATAATGGGAACATTCATACGTAACCAAGACATTATATATGATCAACCTCCCAGGCACAAATCTACTCTATGACTCATGGATAATAAAAGGTAGAACTAACTTTAATCTATTATCAAGTACCTTGGTGACAATTTTATACAACACATTACATAAGCTTATAGATCTATAATCAACAGGAGACTCGCATATTTTTTTTTTTTTTCAGAATTAACACTATTTGAGTCTGATTAATAGAACCTACATCACCATTATTATTTAAGATATCTAGCACTTTAGTAATTACACACTCCGACAATATCCCAGAATTTTTGAAAAAAAAATGGCAAACATACCATCGGGCCCAGGGGCCTTTGTTGGATGCATCTGAAACAGTGCTACACGTACCTCCTCGACAGTGAAAGGTACATTAAGATTGCTGCGTTGCCCACTGCTAACAATAAGCTCTACCTTCTCGATCACAGGCTCGGGTTCAATGTGGCTATTCCCAGCGAAGAGGTCAGTGAAGTAGTTCACAAAAATTTCAGTGATCTGCTCTTCTTCATTAAAGATGTTCCCAGCTTCATTTTTAATTTCTTTTATATTGTTCCTTTCAACTCTTTGCTTCGCCTTCATATGAAAAAATGTTGTATTTTTGTCACCATGTTTTAACCACTCCTGCCTACTCCTTTGCTTCCAATACATTTCCTCCCTCCTCTCAAGCTCATCCATTGTATCATCAATAACTCTCATTTGGGCAATAACCTCCTCCGTTTGCTCCTCCCCCATAAGTCTCTCTGTTTGTGTTTTACAGTCTTGCGATTCCTTCACAAATTCACCAAATTTCTCTCTACTCCAAGCACTTAAACTTGTGGAAGTGAAATCAATTTTCGAGCACAAATCTCCACCCCTTTCCCACGCATTAGGCATTTCAACACAATTTTCATCACGGAGCCACATTTCTTCGAAACAGTACACCTTTTTTTCTTTTAAGGCTTCTTTTATGCACAAGAGGATTGGGAGGTGATCAGATTTTCTTTTAGTGAGATGTGAGACAAGCGAGCCCGGGATACATTCTCTCCATTCACGATTTGCAAGATATCTATCAAGGCATTCTTGAATATTTAAAATAACCTCTATGAAAATGTCAGCTTCATCATAGTTAAAAACACGCCCTCCTGCTTTCTCACTTGACTGCAACATAAAATTTAGATCCCCTCCACAAAGCCAAGGCTTCCCATCAGCAGCCCACAAACTTTTTAATAGCAGCCCAGTTTTGTATTTGAGCTCATCCTCCGGAAAACCGTAAAGACCTAAAAATGTCCACTCCCCAAGCATGGTAGAATGAACCCCTACATCAATGTGATTTTGGGAATAAGATTTTACCATTACATCCTCCGAACTCTACCACATTAAGGCCAAACTCCCCTTCCTTCTCCTGCCTTCTCCTTCACATTCTACAACAAAAGCATTTTCAAATTTGGTTTTGTTGTTTAACCTTCTCAAACTCAAAAGCTTTCAACTTTATCTCACAAAGAAAAACCATCTTGGGACATTCAAGAAACACAATCCGTTTCAAAGCGTTAATTGCAGGAATGCCCCCTAATCCCCTACAATTCCATGAAATGATGTAACTCATTGGTCACCGAGAGCCCTATGGGTGGGGCTCGCCACACGATCAGCTGAATTAATCACCATCCTCTTCTTATTACTCTCCACATTATCCAAAACCAGCAGATTGCCTATACTCTCCTCTCCCTCCATGCACTTCCTTTTTTCCCCTGACACCAGCACATTACTTTCCATACTGTGATCTATATCCCTCATATTTCTTCTCCACATTTTATTATTATTTTTTTTGCTCCCTCTCTTCCCTGTTAACTCCACCTCAACCTGCTGCCCACTCATATCCCCATCTCCTCCCTACTTTTAAAAGTAAAGCACTCATTTCCAGAGGAACAAATGGTATTTTTGCTCCCCTCCTTAATACTCAAGTCAACTCCTCCCATTTTATCCAACACCTCTGACATTTGGTTGGGATCCACAACCTTCACTTCACTCTTTTTTTTTTTGGTTTTGTAACAAACATAACCTTCACACAACTCCCACCTCTTACTCCTGCATCATCCCATCCCCCAACATTATATTTCCATGGTGAAGCTTCTAACCAAACTCCATAAGCTAAATTCGGCTCCTCGGCATCTTTGATCTCCTCGTAATCCTTGAAGCCATGCCCCATCAGACCACAAAAAAAGCAGAAAAAGGGAGGTTTTTCATATTTAACTTCAAAGTCTTCTTCAGTTTCCGTTCTCAGTTTCAATCGAACATGTTTAAACAAGGGTTTACGCACATCGACCAAAACCCGGAGACGAATAGATTTATCAATCCCAACCTTTGTGCAGTTTCCATTTTAATAAAGACTCCCAATTTAATTTATTCCCAATCTTCTCAACATTTGAAAGATTTAATCTTCCTTTTAAAGGAAGATTATACACCCTAATCCACATTGGCAAATAAACTAACTCTATATCCGAGGGCTTCACCGAATCAGTGGTCTCTCCAAGAATCAATGCATGTCTATCAAAATGCCAAGGTTGCTCATCAAGTACACGTTGTTTGTCTTTCCAATGGTAAAATTGGAACATAAAACGATTTTTCCCAATATTAGAGATATCCACCCCATGCTTAGGTTGGC